TATATCGGCAGACATCTTGTGCTATGATAGAAATTAAAAGTGTATATGCTGAGTCACTTTTGAACAGAGCAGACTCCATTTTGTTATTTTCAAGCTAACAAAAGACACAAGATTTCTATCTGTAAAACTAACCACTTTCCCAGAGCTAAAGGAATGCATAGTATATACAAACCAAGTGATAAGGAGAACGGGGGTTGGACAGACTGTCTAAATGCTAATGGAACATAATTCTAAACCCAGACATTTGTGACAGAGAAGATTAAATAATTTAATTTTACTTTTTATATTGTATAACCTCCCATTGTAGTTTAAGGTGAAACTTAGTTTACGAACTGTCATATTAGAAATTATAGCAGGAATTGCGGACACTAAGTCTGGACAAAACTAAGAGAAAACCCTTTGAAGTGAAGGAAAACTTAAGTTATGGCAACCATAAAGATAAAGCAAAATGACGTCAAAATAGCCACCAAGAAAAGTTAACTCTTTCCTGGATAGGAAGGTTTCGTTAGACGAGACTGCCATCTATGGATCAAATACCTAAATCGCGATCCCTAGATTGGACACACCTATGGCTTCCTATTGGGTTATCAACTAATGACGTACAGAGAGTCTGGCCCTTTAAAAGTTAAGACAAAGAGAGGAAGGAGAGGTAGGCGAGGAATACAAGGGTATACAAAGGAAGCAAAGAAGTGAGCAGCTGGAAGCAATGCAGAGAGGCCTATGACAGATATCCACTCTAGGACACTCAGAAATTCCTACACACCTCCATGCAGAGAGACATCCAAATAAGTTCCTGAGACTATCTACCAATTGGATGAAATATCTACTCAACTGGTTATTATACTGGTTTCATTTAATTAATTTAATTAATTCAAATTTACTAATAGCATGATATATGACTGGATAAATCACGGTCATATTTCCATATTTAGAAATCTTAGTTAACTAAAGAATATATAGTTATAAACATTCCATTCTGCAGGTGGAATTAAGAATAATTTATATATTAATGTGATAGTATCACATGTTAGCATACCGCTGTTTTTATCCAGGTGTATTGATTTGCTCTAATATAAGATAAGATATCTTTTAGACAAATTAAAAATCTGCTTATAAAATCTGGTAGATTCTCTTATTGGATGGCTCCAGGAAATGACTAATGAACTGGTTTAAATGTTATTTTATTTAAAATTACATAAGAATAGATCTTAATTACCTAGGAGGATCTAGCCAGCATTGAAAGGGTTATTTTAACTGTCAGCTAAACTTTACGACCTTACGCTGCACTCTGAGGAATTCTGTTCTCTACGTGAAACTTTTTCTTACTCTCTGTGAAAGATAGTCATAAATCTAGTCTTGACAGAAAATGCTGTTTGGCCATTGAAACGTATATAGCCATTCCATTGTATTGCATATCATTTGATACTGGATATTCATTGATTATTGTCATGCATGTTACATATTATTATTGTTAATTATTGGTCATAATAAATAAATCTATTTTTATAACATATTGTGATTTTATCTATATGAAATACATTTCAACGCCTAGCAGAGGTGAGACATAATATCCATACCCTACTGATAGAGGACACGGCCAAGGCCATGACTTACACAAGACGGACATTCTACGAAAAGGCCAACAAGATGGACACGTTCTTAGCCAGGACCCTAAACCCCAGACAAAGGCGCACACACATCACTTCGATTCGACACCCAGAATGAACCATAAAAACCACCCCGACAGAGGTAGCCTCAGTATTCACAGACTTCTATAAAAAGCTATATAACCACTCACCAGGCACACAGGGAGATAGGGACACGGAAGAGGGACAGATTCAGAGCTACCTGCAAGCACTAGGCCTACCTAAACTGCCGCAGGAAGCAATAACCACCCTAGCAGCTGAAATTACAGAAGACGATATAAACCAAGCCATTACAGCTCTTAAGGGGAATAAGGCCCCCGGGCCAGATGGCTTCGATGGCGGATATTATAAACAGTTCCGTGAAGTCCTTACTCCCTACCTACTCAAACTATTCCAAGAATTAAGGGAAGAGGGAACACCCGATAAAGACATGTCCTTGGCCACCATAGTTCTACTACCGAAACCCGAGAAGGACCCCCTCCTACCAGCAAGCTATAGACCCATATCTTTAATCAATCACGACATGAAGATATTAGCAAAACTGCAGGCGACCAGGTTGAACCCCTTCCTAACGAAACTTGTAGATGCTGACCAAGTCGGCTTCATCCCGGGGAGACAGTTGTTTGAAAACACACGCCGTAACATCGCCCTCATATGGAGGCAGGTTACCGCACGCACGCCCAGACTGGTTGTCTCCCTTGATGCCAAAAAGGCCTTCGATAGGGTCAAATGGCCATACCTATTCGCTGTATTGGAGCACTTTGAGATACCCAAGGAGTTTATCACCCTCATAAGAGCCATGTATAGTAACGTCCTTGCCCAGATACAAGTCGCGGGAGCCCCCCTCCAACCCTTTAGACTACATAACGGCACAAGACAGGAATGCCCCCTATCCCCACTCCTGTTCATGCTGTCGCTTGAACCACTGCTACAATCCCTGCGACAAAACCCTGGAGTGAGAGGAGTGACTGTAGGAGGACAAGAGTTCCTAGTTTCTGCATACGCAGATGACGTACTCCTGACACTGACGAGCCCAACGGAATCAATGATCGTTCTAAACGAGATCCTGCAGAACTATGGAGCACTCTCAGGTTACGTGGTCAACATGACCAAGTCTAGCGCTCTCCCACTGGGAATGGCGGCGGCGGACACGGCAGCGATTAGAGCCAGGCACACTATACACATAGAACACTCATCTCTCAAGTACCTAGGGGTACACCTGACAGCTGACCCGGACAAGCTATTCCAGCACAATTATATCCCCATAATCAAAACGCTGATGAAGGATTTAGATCAATGGCTGGACAAACCCATATCATGGATAGGAAGAATTCATTCTGCCAAAATGAATGTCCTGCCGCGCATTCTCTTCCTGTTTCAGGCACTACCCATACGCATTACCAAGGCCCACTTGCTACCTCTCCAGAGGGCAATATGCGCTTTTATCTGGCAGAACAAAAGACATAGGATCTCCAGACAAGTTCTATATAGACCCAAACCTAGAGGCGGCCTGGGGCTCCCCTGTCTATACTATTACTATTTAGCAGCCCAATTAACACAAGTAGCAATGTGGCACTCACCCCCGGGAGACAGAAAATGGGTTGATATAGAATCGCTCATGGTAGGGGCCGATATACAACAATTCGCCATGTGGGTACCAAAAGAAAACAGATCCATCCTTAGAGTCACCTGCCCAACTATCCTCAACTCCTTAAGAATTTGGGACTCTTCCCACACAAAACAAACTAGCTTCCTCACCTTCCCCCCTCATGCCCTACCTACGGAATAGAGCCTTCCCCCCAGGCATGGCCCCCAGAGACTTCAGAAACATAGAACAGACAGGCATTCAGAGAATTTGCAATTTATACCGGGGCACTGAGTTCATTAGCTTCGAAGACCTCGCACAAGGGAGGCACTTGAAGCCAGCGGATTTCTTTCGTTATATCCAACTGAGAGATTTCGCGAAACAACCCCATATAAAAAGGGCAGCACTGCAGCAAATGACGTTCTTCGAACGGCACTGCCTAGCGGAAATCATACCCAAGGGGATAACGGAGCTGTATGCCCACCTTTGCTCTGCTAATGGGGACTGGGGACAACTGAGATATACGGACCAATGGGAACGCGACTTGGGAGAAGTACTCGAGGGTGTCGAATGGCAGGAAATATGGGAGGCGAGTAAAACCACCTCAGTTTGCGTAACCCTCCAGGAGCAATCCTTTAAAACAATGCTCCGATGGTACACCACCCCCGAGACATTATACAGAATGCATAAAACCACCACTGACACATGCTGGAGGGGCTGCGGAGAAAGAGGCACTTATATCCACATGTGGTGGGGGTGCCCAAAGATGGTCATCTTCTGGTCCGCAATCAAACAATTGATATGGAGAATATTCTCCAGGACCCTGAAACTAGATCCCTGGGTATATCTACTCAACCGCACGGTCGAGGGTTGGACCAGGGCAGAACAAAAACTCATACATAAACTCACCTTAGCAGCTAGAAAGGCAGTGGCGGCCACATGGCTGCAACAGGACACCCCAAAGATCCCAGAGGTTATAGCAAGAATCAGAGAGATCCATTTGATGGACGAACTGACAGCCAGATTAAAAGGCTCACTTCAAAGATTCCTTAAAATATGGGAACCTTGGGATAGTAGCGACTTGGGACAGGGCTGAGATGGATACCCAACAGCACAGACCACATGATCCGCCCCTCCTCCCCCACATAGCACCAACAGGTGCTTGTCACCTTAGATCAACAAATTCTTAATAGGTCCCACCTCCCACTCACTTTCCCCTCTCTCTCACTTCTTTCTCTCCCTGTTTTGCTAGTCCAGTCCAGGAGGCAGGACTAGTGGATGTTGTTATAATATCTGACATGGAAAATAACTGGTATACAATACGTGAGGCTTCTGCTGTTACCCTCGAGAAGTGGTGGATGCCCCACCCTTACGCTATTGAAAGCTTATGGTTAAGTGAAGTTATCACTGCAAACAAACATGTCTGGTATACTGGCAATGTCATTCTTTCTCCAAAACTCCTTGACGATCAGCCAAATTGTAATTACTTGTGTAGAATATGTACTGTTCGAAGACATGTTGCCTTTTTCTCTTTCATTAACATAAGTTATGATATTGCACTATAACTGAAATTCGCTCAAGTTATGTGGCTACTGTTATGTTCGCTGACTCTGTCAAGATGAAAAAATAAAGAATAAAAAAAAAAAAGAAATACATTTCACTTAACGCGATAACGATCTTTGGGATCTGAGAATTGAATTAGTGGGCAATTCTCACTGTTTACTATTATCCCATAAATATCCTCACACGAGTGAGAAGGGAGGCGTGGCATGTGTCTGGCTGGGGCAACTTCTCTCTTAGTCCTGTCAGAGAAGCGTGTGGAGGATTTACCGGAGCCAATACCGGCTTACTGTGTCACCATGGCAACTTCACTGACAGCCCGTGAGATCCGGCAGAGGTTTATTGACTTCTTTAAAGAAAACGGCCATACGTATGTCCACTCCTCAGCTACGGTCCCCCTGGTTGACCCCACTCTGCTGTTTGCCAATGCTGGCATGAATCAGTTCAAGCCAATTTTCCTTAATACAATTGACCCGTCTCACCCCATGGCAAAGCTTAACCGGGCTGCCAACACACAGAAGTGCATCCGTGCCGGAGGAAAGCACAATGACCTCGATGATGTGGGGAAAGATGTCTATCATCACACATTCTTTGAAATGCTGGGATCTTGGTCTTTTGGCGATTACTTCAAGGAATTGGCATGTAAACTTGCCCTTGATTTGCTCACCAAGGAGTTTGGGATTGACATTGACCGACTGTATGTCACATATTTTGGTGGCAACGAGGTAGCTGGTTTGGACCCTGATCTGGAGTGTAAACAAATATGGCTGAACCTGGGTCTCCCAGAAAGCCGGATCTTACCAGGGAGCATGAAGGATAATTTCTGGGAGATGGGGGATACTGGCCCCTGTGGCCCCTGCAATGAGATGCATTATGACCGAATTGGAGGGCGTGATGCAGCCCATCTGGTGAATATGGATGATCCCAATGTTCTCGAGGTTTGGAACCTGGTGTTCATTCAGTTTAACCGGGAGTCAGATGGGACTCTCAAGCCTTTACCTAAGAAGAGCATTGATACAGGAATGGGGCTGGAGAGGCTGGTGTCTGTGCTGCAGAACAAGATGTCCAATTATGACACAGATCTATTTGTTCCATACTTTGAAGCCATCCAGAAGGGCACTGGTGCCAGGCCCTATTCCGGAAAGGTTGGTGCAGAGGATGAAGATGGCATAGATATGGCATATAGAGTGCTGGCAGACCATGCCAGGACAATCACTGTGGCACTTGCTGATGGAGGACGACCAGATAACACTGGACGAGGGTATGTCCTGCGGCGTATCCTGCGCCGTGCTGTACGGTACGCCCACGAGAAACTTGGTGCGCCAAAGGGATTTTTCTCTACTCTGGTTGATGTGGTTGTCCAGTCGCTGGGTGATGCTTTTCCTGAGCTGAAGAAAGATCCAGACCTGGTGAAAGACATAATCAATGAAGAAGAAACTCAGTTCCTGAAAACCCTCATCAGAGGCCGTCGCATCCTGGACCGGAAGATACAGAGCCTGGGGGACAACAAGGTTATTCCTGGTGACACAGTATGGTTGCTATATGACACATACGGGTTTCCTGTGGATCTGACGGGTCTCATCGCTGAGGAACGGGGACTGAAAGTGGACATGGAGAGTTTTGAAGAGGAAAGGAAAACTGCTCAGCTAAAGTCTCAAGGAAAGGGGAGTGGCGATGAGGATCTTCTGATGTTGGACATCTATGCAATTGAGGAATTGCGTGCTCGTGGAGTGCAGCCAACAGATTATTACCCCAAATATTCCTAAACAGCTCTTGATGATGGACTTTATAAGTTTGACATTGTGATGGCGACGGTGCAGGCAATTCGCAGAGCGAAAACGCTTGTGGAGGAAGTCAGCACTGGGCAGGAGTGTGGGCTGGTGTTGGACAAGACCTGCTTTTATGCTGAGCAAGGAGGACAGACGTATGATGAGAGTTACATGGTTCGAGAGGATGAGAGCAGCGAGGATAAGACAGAGTTCACCGTGAGGAATACACAGATCCGTGGAGGTTTCATACTACATGTGGGCACTGTGTATGGGAACCTGAAGGTTGGCGATCGTGTCAGTCTTTATGTTGATGAGACAAGACGTCGTCCAGTCATGAAGAATCACACCGCTACCCACATTCTGAACTTTGCTCGGGGAGGCTGATCAGAGGGGATCATTAGTTGCTCCCGACAGACTTCGCTTTGATTTCACTGCTAAGGGTGCTCTAACCACTGAGGAGATTCGCAAAACAGAAGAGATTGCAAACCAGCTAATCCAGGAAAACAAGGTGGTTTATGCAATGGAATGTCCTCTCGCAGCTGCCAAGGCCATCCAGGGATTGCGTGCCGTATTCGATGAGACCTATCCAGATCCTGTGCGTGTTGTATCTGTAGGAATACCTGTGGATCTGCTCATGGCTGACCCCACAGGGCCTGGAGGCTCCTCAACATCTGTGGAGTTCTGTGGTGGGACTCACTTGAAGAATTCTGGCCATGTGGGTCAATTAGTCATCGTCATAGAAGAAGCCATTGCTAAAGGTATCCGCAGAATTGTTGCCGTTACCGGGTCAGAGGCTGTAAAGGCTGTGCGCCGACAGGATGCATTAAATGCTGCTCTCATTGCTGTGGATGAAAAGGTAAAGCAGCAGACATCTCCCAACAAGGACCTGCAGAAAAAAATAGCAGAACTGAGTGAGAACTTGGCTACTGCAGCCATCTCTCAGTGGAAAAAGGATGAGCTGAGAGAACAAATAAAAACATTGAAGAAAACCGTGGATGACCTTGACCGTTCCTACAAAGCCGAAATTCAGAAACGAGTCCTAGAAAAGACAAAACAGCTCATTGAAGACCAGCCTAATCAGCCTGTTCTGGTCCTGGAAATGGAGAGTGGAGCATCTGCTAAAGCTCTGAATGAATCCCTGAAGCTCCTGAAATCCCACTCGCCCCAAACTGCAGCCATTATGTTCTCTGTGGATAACGACTCTGGGAAGATTACATGTTTGTGTCAGGTGCCTCAGGAAACTGCCCATAAGGGGCTAAAAGCATGCGAATGGGTAAACAAAGTGTCTGAACTCATGGAAAGGAAAGGAGGCGGTAAAGACACATCAGCACAAGCTACAGGAAGGAATGTTGGGAGTCTGTCCGAGATTCTGAGGGCCGCTGAAGACTTTGCAAAGCTAAAATTAGAGTCTGAAGAACTGAACTACAGAATCTAATATATATTTCCACACTAACCCCTCATCTTAATATCTTTACCGCCAGCAACTATGTGCAGAAAAAAAATGGCCTTCCGTCCAGCTCTGAAGGGGTTAATTCCATGGACTTTCTGGTGGTACATTGGGGGGGATGAAGAGACACCCTCTCATTGCCCTGGAAGGACTGATTTTTCCAGAAAAGGGAATGTTACATGTTTTCTTGTTCAGCTGTCCTAGTACATTGCCGAGTTCAAGGGACAGAGTAGTATTAGTTCCTCTCAGCATGGACCTAATTCCGATGCTGGGATAATGTCAAAGCTCTTCTGCTGGACCCTGGTCCTGTGTTTTTTCATGCTGCCTTTACAGGCCAGTTAGAAGTGTTATAGAATGCACTCTAGGGTAACCTGGGACGTAGCTGCTACCACTACCTACATTGTTACTTTTCCAGCAATGCACGGGTTAATGTCTAGTGAAATTTACTCTAAGCAGATTTGGAGAAATTACTTGCCTGTAATTGGGAAGTGTTACTGAAAAGCTTGTAGAAACTCATTCAACATTCATAACTGCACATCATTCATGTCAAATAAAACTGATGCAACTTGGAAAAAAAAAAAATATATATATATCCTCACACCCCCCCACCCCACTCTCACTACTTCTTTCTTTTATGCCCTCTCCTATAGGGACCAATTAAAGGACTATGCAAGCATACTTTTACTTCTTATAATGTACAAATGTGTCATGAGATAACTTGTGAAGATGATATATACTACTTTGAAGCCTAAGGTCTTGGCTCACGATGATACTGCAAACCTTGTAAAGGTACTTTGACATACTTTGTGTCTAGTATAAGTTTCTGTTAAAATGTGCAATTGTATAATGCCATGACAATGTATTTGTGCACTAATGTCATATACATGTACGACTTCGTTATGGCTACTTATGCTTACGAATGCTTTTTGCACAATAAAAATAAAGAATGTCAAATAAATAAAAAGGGAGAAAATACAGTGAAGCCATCAGCAACTTCTGACAGATATAGTTGCTGCTGTTGAAATGTGAGAAGTCACATTGGAGTTTATCCAAACTCCATGTCAAAAATAAATAGCATAAAAAAAATAAAAAAACAAAACAAAAAACACAACAAAAACAACACACACTACACAAAAAAGAAACCCACCCAAACAAAACATCACATTGCCGTACTCAATATTAAAAGGGACTCTATGGGCACCAGAACAACTTTAGCCTAATAAAGCAGTTTGTGTATAGGTCATGCCTCTGAAGTATCACTGTTCAGTTCTCTGCCATGTAGGAGCAGATAACTGGTTTCTGCAGCCCTAGCTGCCCCTCCCCTGGCTGTGACTGACACAGCCTGCATGAAAACAAAATGGTTTCATTTTCAATCAGATGTTCTTATTCTAAGTTTTTATCTCCTGCTTTGTCATTTGTACTGCAATTACATACAGGAAGCTCCTCCAGGGTCTAGCAAGCTATTAAAGCAGGAGATAACATTCTAAAGTAAACAGCTTTTGCAATAAAAGGAAGTGTAAACTTTATATGACTTTACAGGAAGTGTTTAAGAAGGTTGTACAAGTCACATGCAGGGAGGTATGCCTAGGGCTGCATAAACAGTGATTTAACTCATAAATGGCAGAATTGAGCAGTGAGACTGCAGAGGCATGATCTATACACAAACTGCTTAAACTAAACTAAAGTTGTGTTGGTGCCTATAGTGTCCCTTAAACAGCTTCATATTAGTAACTATATAAGCCATTACATCACAATGATGTACCTTTATACATCGGTTTAGACAGATAAATTTTAAAAGTCTATGGGAATGAAAGTTTTTCTGAAAGCAAAATGATTTTATTATTTTTTAAGTAGTCTCCAGAACACTATTTTGTAATACCTGAGACAACTGCAAAATATTCTCTTTCTTGACTTATTTATACTTCATTCTGAATTAAACCACAGGCACAAAACCATTTACTTGAGTTTATTTTGCAAGTGCTGTACATGACATTAGTGAATGCTGTGCAAACTTCACACAAACAAAAATAACTTACATTCATGTTATCTTTCCCAGTTTTTACAGCATTTTCTTTTTTATTGCTACAATTATTCCAAAACAAATAAAGGGAATACATTTAGTAGCATGGCACACTCTGCACGATATATTTGAAAGTCATGTATTAGTCTGACTAAATAAAGGGAAAAAAAATGTATATATACATAGAAACAAAAATACTTCCTTTAAAACAGGATTAAATATTTAACTTCCAAAAGTATGGAAATGCAGCGTATCCAGTCTTTTAGAGAGTGAAGCAGCGGCTGGATCTATCTTTTAGATGACTTTCAAAACCTCATGAAGGGTCAGCTGCATATAATGGTATTTTCGGACAGCTAAAACAAAATAAAAAAAAAAAAAAAGTTAACAAAAAATACTGAAAGATTTTGATATCACAAGAATGCTGAAAACACTATGCAGATTACAAAGGTCTTAAAAAATAAAAATAAAAAATGAAAAACCATCAAACCAACCACATCCAGTGCTACACAGTGTTTTGTTAGGCCATGCATTTTTAGAATACTGTGTATCGGAATTATTAATTTAAGTCCAAATGTCCCAAGATTATCATAATTAATGCAACATCCTCGGAAGGCATTCAGAATCTGGACATTGAGATATTAGCCTTCAATTACATTTAAAGGGACACTATAGGCATCCAGACCACTTCATCTTATGAAGTGGTCTGGATACAGTGTCAGTCTCCCTAACCCTGCAAATGAAAGCATTGCAGCTTCAGAAAGGTTTATATTGCAGGGTTAAGAGAACCTCTAGCAGCTGCTTTGAAGACAGCCACTAGAGGCACTTTCTGGATTTTCACAGAACTTCGTGAAACTATAGAAGTCCTCATGCACGAGGACGCCCAGCATCTTTTAAGTTCTCCATCAGCATGACATTGTGAGAGGAGTGCAAAAAGACCTCAGCATTGATTAAAAACACTGTTAATACTCCCCTTAATTCCATTTCATGCTCATATGGGGGTGGGGGGGTGAAAGAGGTTTAAACTTAAATTTAGGATCAAACACATACTTCAGTGTTATGAACACATCTTTGTATTCCTAACACTATAGGGTTTCTTTAATGTACTGTTTACCATGTTAAATTGGGACTACATCTATTTCTTGTGCTATCCGAATTGTTAGCAATTGTATATCGATTTCCAAATACATCTGTAGAACCAGGGCCGGCGTGTCCATAAGGCAACACAAGCGGCTGCCTTAGGGCGCCAGAGCAGGGGGGTGCAAAAATCTGAATCCCCTGCCTCTGGCTGGGGACCTGGAATTTTCAACTTACCTCTCACTCCCTGCAGTCAGTGGAGTCGGCCGGCACCTCCTGATGTCAGGAGGAGGGGGCATGACATCCACTGCTCTTCTCCCAGACCTCTGGGGAGTCTGGGAGAAGAGCCCCCTCCTCCTGACATCATCAGGAGGGGCTTGCCTACTTTACTGGCTACAGACTGCAGTAGGCTCCAAATCCTGACCCTCCCTCCCTGGCCCAAGGTAAACTTTGGGAGGGAATGGGAAAATACACTTAAGATTTTTTTTTATTTTTATTAAAAGCAGCCCCAGCACTACCCCTATGCACCTAAGCCCCCACCACAGCCCCTGTGCCCCTCCTTTACAGCGCTACTGAATTTGATGGCGCTATATAAATAAAAATACTAGTGCCAACTCCTGTCGTCCCCCCCCTATCAGCTCCTGCCCCCACCCCCTCCTCTAAAGCTCCTGCCGCCCCCACACACAGCCCCTCTCTTGCAGCGGTCCCCCTCCGCCACAGCTCCTAACTCCCCTACTACACGTCCCTCAAACTATATCCATCACCCCACTACACCCCCTAAATTTGCAAAGACCCCTGCGCTGTATGATCGAGTCTGAATGTGTTTGTATGACGTACTTTTACGTGTAGATTGGTATGACTGTGTGCCGCTATATATCTATGTCTATTTGGCATATGAAAAAAAATAAAAAAAATAAAAAAAAAAAAACACACACACACACGGCACGGGGGGGGAGAAAGCCACAAAAAGGGGCTGGAGGAAAGGAAGACACACAAAGGGGCTTGGGTGGAGAAAGACACACAAGAGGGTGTAAGACATTAAAAGGGGGAATAAAATACACTCAAGAGGGTAAGAAATTCAAAACTGAGGTTACAAGACACAGGTAAAGATGCATTTTATTTTCGGGGGCAGGGGGGAGAGTGCAGAGGGCTGCAAAATGCATCTTTGTCTGTGTAACCAAAATTACTTGCACAGGCCCTGTGTAAAACTATATGTTGCCTGCCCACACTCAATTCTCGGCATGCAGTTCTCCAGAACAGCAGAGTGTGTGCTTCAGTTTACTTTACACTACCTGACTTTTTGGGAATACTGGAAGTTTGCCATTGAAAAACTCTGTGGTCAATGTGACTTTTGGGAAGGAAGGTTTATGCATTGGAAACTTACTCCATTTTGTCCTCAAGTTTATGAATAGTCTGTTTGTCCAAGTAACGGCAAAATAACGAAAGCAAGTTGCTAGGTAAGAAAAGTGGTTCCACCATGGAGGACTTTGAAACATGGGAAAGTTCTTTTGCAACCAAGAACACAGTGTCTGTCCTGAAAATAGAAAAAGATTATTATTGAGACATGCTGCTTATATATCGGTCAGTTTTAAGAATTTCTCTCTCAAATTTGACAACAGGGAGGCAAAGATCTCAATATTGACAGGACTAGTCCGATCTAAAATGGAAAGAGTGATTTACTCATTTTTAATTTAAATTCCAAGAAATTTATTGCTAGGATGCCAAAAAATGAAGGACGAAAAATAAATTAAATCCACACATGGCAAAAGTCTGAAGCTTGGGGGCAATTATCTCCAGCTTCCATTTTGACTCCGTGTTCTTGTAACCACAGAATGTTCAGATGTGCCGTTTTTAAAAACAGATGTGTCAATATCCATCAATGGTGGCGTGTGGTGAGTAGCTCAGGCTGTAGGAAATGAAGCGTTCCATTTCACTAAAAGCATTGAGATCAAAATGGGATTATAGAAAAATGTCTTATTAAGTTGTAAATAGCTAGCTTATTGACTGGAAAGATCACCTGTATATATTGACAGGACAGATACTATAAAAAGATTAATCGGAGGTCATGGGCTAAAAGGAAAAGTATGGTTAGATTTCTCCTGTGAATGAGTACATAGCGGAGAAGAGAACGGATTTGGGAAAGAGGACAAGAAATATAACAGAGCAGAACCAGTAATATAGCAAAATCTAAAAATAACTCTGGAAAGGTTTTTTGACACAAAAAAAATATAAAGTTTTATAATCGTCCCACACTTTTGTTTTGGTGTGGGGCCACAGTGGATGCCCCCCCCCAAAAAAAACACTTGCTAGGCCAATCCTTTACAGTTCATTCATTACACTTCCTAATGACTGCACATTACATTGTCACTGACTCCTACAATGAACTTAAAATGTCACTTATCTAATCATTTAGAATTATAGAAAATCATGTGAATTATTCATAATATTGATAGATTGAATTACGTGGTAATACTGTAACAGAAAGCGAAACATCGCACCATTTTTCAAAGTCACCAATACAGGGTTCCATCGGAGTGTCAGATGACAGCAGCCTCTCTCCTTGACTCAATAAAGAATACAACAGAGATATCCCAAACTGAAGAAGGTAGAAAAAAAAAAAAAAAAAAAAAACCACGTTTACATTAATTTCATAGTGCACACATACATGACAGATGCAATTTTTGGACAAGAATAGAAATCACATGATTGAACGGCAAAATTATAATAGAGTATGTTCACAACCAGCTTAAAGATTTTGACATGCCAATGTTATAAACATCGCAACTAGAGAGTGTTCTTATAAATGGCACACCTATTAAATATTTCCATACATACCTGGTTCTTGAATGCCATAGTTAGTGGCAAATCTTTAGAATCTGGCAAAGGTTGGGTGAGTTCTTGAATGATTCCAATGAGTTCAGAGAACGCAAGCCCATTTATTACAACTGTCAGAGGTTCATAGAGAACTGGTAGAGACTATAAGAAGAAAGTCATTATTCACAGATTTGCACTATTGCACCAGTCATATAGGAGCTTATGGCTAGAAGGTTACCTTTTCAGTGACATCATTCTTAATAAGGAAAGACAAATGTTGAACAACTATGAGAAGTATCTGTGCTGCCTGCTCACTGTGCAGAAAAGGAAGGAGTCTCGCAATTAGTTTCTTGCCTTTGCCAACTTGTAACAGCTGCAAGAATGCATTTTCTGTTTCACTGCAAAGGAAAGCATTAGTTTAAACACACACACAGACATTAAATAGGAATAGCACTCTCCACATTATCAGGGTTGCTCACTCAAGTGAGAAATTAAAGGGAGTCTCAAAGTTAAGGCAAAAGGAGCTGTGCCCAGCAATGCAATCTGAACAAGTTTATAAAAAAGTTTGTTTAACCCCTTAAGGACACATAACATGTGTGACATGTCATGATTCCCTTTTATTCCAGAAGTTTGGTCCTTAAGGGGTCAAGAGCGTTTGCATGCTGATAAAGAAATAAAAATAAATAGTCATCAAGTGATGCATGTCCCTTTAATTTGTCTCATCTCTGGATCAGAACTGAAAGGATTCAGGCTTTAAAAATGACCTGTAAGGGATTGTGAATAACTTTACATCAGTACATTGATTGTTAATGTAAAGATCCTAGAGGTGATCTATTGCTCCAAGCAATATATAGAATATAGAGGGATGATTGTAGTTTTAAAGGCAGAAAGGAGAGAAGAGAGATGGGAGAATAAAAAATAAAGCATCCAGGGGCATGAAGTATTTTTATCCTTTACGATAATTACAGCTCATGCACCAATTACAGTTCACTCACTCGTCAGGACTGCATGTTGCGATCTTGAGGGCATCGTACAGTCTTTCTACTTTGTAGTTCTGTTTCTGCTGGAATCGAACGTGTTGTTCGTCAGAGAGATGTGGCACTTTCCTCTCCATCTCTTCTACCTCTAGCAGCATTAGGAATAACTTCAATATAAAAAGGGAAAGTAGGCAACATTGACTTATAATTAATTTTTTTTTTAAATTAAAAATAAGAAAAAAAGCTACCCCCTAATTTAATGATGTTTATCAACATATTTAAAATAAAAAAAAAAAAATAAGATATAAAAATGACACTATCTTCAGTAGTTTGAAATTAAAATGAAATTGCTTCCCTGGTGCATAAAACCCCAATATTTAGCTTTGTTAAGCAAGCACCTAAAAAAAAAACCAAAAAAAAAAAAAAACATATGTTAGAGTAAGTGGTCACGATCAGGGATGGCAAAATCTAGTGCTCTTCCCCACATCTGATGGGCTGGGTTTGAGATGCCTGGTTTAAAGCAGGATGAATTAATAAACTGTGCATCTAATACATTGGCAATTTAGGAGAAGAGACATGAATTTATCCCATTTCTGTTTTATTCCTGGAAGAATTCTTCAAACATCCCCAATTGTAACCCTTAGCAAATGTTGCATGGAGAAAGGAAGAAAAAACATTCTTGCAATAACTGTGCCCTAAGGAGCAGAACACTCAAATTAGGATAACCAGTAAAGCTTTTTGAAGTGGTTATGGTGCAACTAGTGTTTGGGAGTAGTCTCCCAGGTTGGTGTCAAAGTGTTTGATATAAACCAGGGCTCTCCTGGGTATAAAGCCCAGGCAAGATGTACCCATAAAACAAGGTTTAAACTCACCATGTCGAAGGCATTTTAAAAACCATAATATACAGGTTTTTTTTCCATTCCAAGTGCATCTAAGCATATTCTGATAACATTGCAAAGTTAGCACAATACTAGACTAACCTACCCAAAGCGTTACCAACCTTCTCAATATGCTTGAGTACCCGCAAACGCTGGTAACCCAGAGCTTTAATATCCTGGAGAGAAGAAAGAAGAAAAATAAATAAATATATATATATATATATAAATAAAATAGGGTACAGGGGATGAGGGGGGTTGGGGGTTGAGAAATAATGCATCATTAACTATATTCAATTAAATTGAGCATGGATCGTATTAAATATCCATGGCAATTAAAGCACATTTAACATTGTGCAATCAATACGAAGTGTCACAAAGTTTTCTAATGGTCTTTTCTTCTGCATCTGCCTTGAAAACAAATTTATTTTTGTGAGTGTAGAGAAAAAAAAAAAAAAATTAAAAAAAATTAAAATCCACACACTACGGCACATGGGTCCTCAAACTCCGGCCCCCCAGACGTTGCCGAACTACCCCGATTCTTTGAATTACATCGAGCGCCAGAGAATCATGGATGTTGTAGTTCAGCAACATCTGGGAGGCCGGAGTTTGAGGATCCATGCTATAGCAACTGCAATAGTGTAATTTGTTAACTATTTAATTGCACTGTTCAGCTGACACTGGGCAATGTTGGTTAATGTTGTGGTTTTCGGTATTTCACCAACATTCCAACTTTGGCAAAAGATCTACCAAAAACAAATATGAATACCGCACTCAAAACAATTCCAGTAAAGTCTAATCTTATATTTAATTGCAAAGCTATTTATTATAATGATAATTCATAAGTTCATAAAGTCAATCATAGTAGAATACATTTCAATCCTATGTACATAGAATATTTACATATATACACACACCAAATCCTCCCTATGTTAAATTTCATGAGTTATGTATCTATTTACAATGTGTAATGATCCAAAAAATGAATGAAAAAGATGATCCCAAAAAATTCAAAAAAAGGAAAATAGTAAAAAATAAAAAAATTGAAAAGAAAAGATAAAAAAAGAAAAAAAGGAGAAAAAAGTGAAACAAATTATATATATCATACAGTCCTGTTGTATAATAGTCCAAAATATAGTGCACTATATGCTTCATAAGTCTATGGATAGATCTCACCAATGTAGAAGATAGCTTTAAGGTATGCTCAGTAGGAGGATGATGTCTGTAGAACGGAGAGGAACAGGGGCCATCGAAGGGACAGGAACGTCCCGAGCGCGCAGCCCATTTCAGCCCGTTTCTAGGATTGCCTACTTCCATGGATCATTGAATGACCTGTCATACTGACCAGATTCTGCTAAATGATTGATTGTCTTTCCACCCTCATCCATTATACACCATCTACAGACTAGGGACGTTCCTGTCCCTTCGATGGCCCCTGTTCCTCTCCGTTCTACAGACATCATCCTCCTACTGAGCATACCTTAAAGCTATCTTCTACATTGGTGAGATCTATCCATAGACTTATGAAGCATATAGTGCACTATATTTTGGACTATTATACAACAGGACTGTATGATATATAATTTTTTTCACTTTTTTCTCCTTTTTTTCCTCTTTTCTTTTCAATTTTTTTATTTTTTATTTTTATTTTTTTACTATTTTCCTTTTTTTGAATTTTTTGGGATCATCTTTTTCATTCATTTTTTGGATCATTACACATTGTAAATAGATACATAACTCATTAAAATTTAACATAGGGAGGATTTGGTGTGTATATATGTAAATATTCTATGTACATAGGATTGAAATGTATTCTACTATGATTGACTTTATGAACTTATGAATTATCATTATAATAAATAGCTTTGCAATTAAATATAAGATTAGACTTTACTGGAATTGTTTTGAGTGCGGTATTCATATTTGTTTTTGATTTAGATTAGGAGGTTGTTGTGGGGTTAAATCTCGAATACCTGCACCTTGCATAATTGAGTGCCAGCACATTGTGTTTTTGTAAAAGATCTACCAAGACGAAGTAAGGACACAAACTTGTGTTCATATTTGTCCTATGCTTGATAAGCAGGAGGGGTTAACGCTGTCCATCCCTGTAAAACCTTCAGCTGTTACTAGTGATTGCTGAGGAAAATAAATACATTTATAATATATATCTATCCATCTCCATCCCCTGTCTTTGGAGGTTCGTGCAGTCTCTTAGTAGCCCCCATAGACCTCAGTGTTATACTCCTGAACACTCAGAGTACAGCACTGACTTTGGCTCCTGGAGTAGTATGGGGGTGGCCAAGGACATGTTCAGGTGAATAACTCCGCTTTGCCTGCACCCCTTGGCCACGGCACTATCAGCTAAGCAATCACTGTCAGGTGTCTGCAAATTATGTAAAAATACCAGATGGACACAAAGCTGCTTTGTACAGACATTAAAGGGACTCTCCAGTGCCAGGAAAACAAACTTTTTTCCTGGCACTGCAGGTCCCCTCTCCCTCCCACCCCCCATCCCATGTTGCTGAAGGGGTTAAAACCCCTTCAGTGACTTACCTGTATCCAGCGCCAATGTCCCTCGGTATAGCATTATAGCATGAGGACGTCCAGCAACGCTATAGCACACGGAATGTGTGCTATAAACCCGGAAGTGCCCGGGTGGAGGAGTTAACCCTTCAAGGTAAATATTGCAGTTTATGAAAACTGCAATATTTACAGTTGCAGGGTTAAGGGTAGTGGGAGTTGGCACCCAGACCACTCCAATGGGCAGAAGTGGTCTGGGTGCCTGGAGTGTCCCTTTAATATTTAAATACAGCAACCTATTTGTTTTAGTTGTTTTGTGATTGTAGTGCTAGTTAGAATCACAGCAGTTATTTGGAAGCAAGCCATCCCTAATTAAAGGGAAAAAAATAAAAATTTAAATCATGCAAAGATATATTAAGCTTTTCCCTCACACCATAAAAACTTCAAACAAGGCCTTACCTCATCGGGTACAATATAAGAAACTGCATCGATGGCCCTTCGGGGGCTGTAGCAGGTTGAAACAGCCACCTGTCCCAGTGAACCTTCAATGTGAACCACTAACAAAGTAAAATATAAAGTTATTAAAAACCACAAGGGATATACAGCATGTATCCGCTCTACATGGATTAAGCACTATATGGGCTACAAGTAGTTTCTAAGAAGCACTCTACACTAGAGACAAAATAAATTCACAAAAGAATTTGCCAGGTAACATTTTAATAGTGACATTGTAGTCGCATAATATACAGCTAGAGTAATTATGGTAACAATTCAAGGACATACTTGGAAACAAGAAATCTCAATGTATCCTTCATGGTGAAATATTTTATAAAATCAATATTATGCACAATGTAAACATTTGAATGAATGCATAATGCATTTGCCATCTGCTCCTACATCATTATTAAGATGAAGGGGAATATTGGCTTTTTTTTTTTGTTTTATTTATTTATTTATTTTAAAACACACACACACACATAGATTTGCCCAGGAGTAAAACCAACCTCGTTATCAACGTTAATCTGAACAGATAGTTAACCATATGTATGTTTTTTCTACCAAGTCTCTTGTTTCCCCATTTACTGCAGGAGAAAATATATCTCTGCCCAGGGGGGACCCAGCGGATGACCTAGTGGTACGCAGACGGGAGGCCCGCACACGGAGTCCGGAGGCAGCGAGCCAGGGGAGGTCGGGGATGGTACGCTTGAGATATGGAGGCTGTATAGGCTCTGTTATTGTATATGATGTTTCTATTTAGTTGCAAGTTTTAGGGTGAGCGACGGACGGACGGACAGACATGGCCCATGGACGGACCCAGAGCGCAGGGTGGGACTGGACGCTCGGGATGACGCATCCGCGAATTATCCATAGAGGTGACAGACCGAGACCATTGGCACCCCACCTGGGTACCCTGGGACGGTGAATGTGGAGTAGGCCTGAGGGAATTATGGTGTGGGAAAGCCCACCTAGTTATGGCCCTAGACAACCCCGAAATAGTAGCTAGCCAAGCACTCATGAGATAAGGGGCCACCGGCTCCGAGCAGGTACTTCCCTACACCTGGGATTTCACGCACTAGACACCCCCCCTCCCCCACCAGCGGGTTGGGTGACCTGGGAGACTGTCATTGACAGACATTCCACGTACGTGCGACGGACGCCACAGGTGGCTTTTACTGCACCCCATGCAACAGACCTTCTTTGTACATATAGGTCGGACCGCGGTTAGACGTTGCATTTACTTGCCCCTTCCCCGTATTGGCCCCACCCTTCCTTGCTACCTCTGGCCCCTCCCACCCCTGACCGCCGCCGTCTGGCGGGTATCCGGGGGGAGGGGACCTGGGACCCAGAGCCATGTTGCGTGTGCGCCCGGCGCAGCTTAAGCCGTGGTCGAACAATGTTAGGGGTCTCAACGTTCCGGATAAACGTTCCCAGCTGCTCTGCCAATTTTGGGCAGAGAGGGTGTCCGTGGCATTCTTGCAGGAGATGCACTTAGTGAGCCGTGCCCATCCCAAACTCGAAAACAACCGTTTCCCACAGGGGTATTACGCCTGTCACCCGGACGTCAAGAAAACGGGCGTCGCAATCCTCGTTGCGCACTCGATTCCATATCTACACAAAGATGCTTACAGACCCGGGCAGGAGATACATATTCCTCAAGGGCACCATAGCAGACCATGCCTACACATTCGCCTGTATATACAGCCCGAACCGAACACAACACACTTTCCTGGCCAAAACACTGTCCAAACGAGAACGGTTTAGGGAGGGACTCTTGATACTAGCAGGGGACCTGAATATGCCGCTAGACCCACGCTTAGACTCCTCGAGGGGCACCAGTGCCATACCCAAACAAGGCCCGGCGAGCCCTGAACACAGTGGGGCTGGTCGACTGCTGGAGAGCAACCCAACCTGATGATAGGGATTATACCTACTATTCGCCCACACACAAGCAGTACAGCCGCATAGATTATATCTTTATGTCACAGGAATACCTGACACAGCTACACAACGCTAACATTGGGAATATGCGCCACTCGGACCATGCCCCAGTTTCGATGCAAATGAGCGGAACGCCAATGGAGGCTTAATGAAACGCTGCTGACCGACCTAGATGCACGCACCACGGCTCAACAACTACTCACCCAATACTTCGACATAAACGACACCCCCGACATGCCTTCTTTGACAGTATGGCAAGCCCATAAGTGTGTAATGCGGGGACACTATTTCCAACAGAACAAGACGCAAGAAAGAGAAGGTGCGCTGCATCACAGACCCAACGAAGACGATCGCAACCCTGTAGAATGCCCACAAGCAGACCCTAGATGACGACACCTACCTTCAACTGACAGAAGCTCGCAGAGCGCTCAGGGACCACCTCTCCAAAGGACATCTACACACCTTGCAGAAATCAGCCAGGTTTTTCTACGAATACTCTAACAAGAGCGGCAGGCTCCTGGCCAAGATGCTCCGGGCGCAGAGGAGGTCCCACCATATCCACGAGATGGCAGGAACAACAGCCTGCCTAACGGAATTATGGAAACCTTTCGGACCTACTATACGGACCTTTACAACTCAATGCAGGCCACACGGGGTGCATCAGACCAGAATCGGCGCAGGAGAATCTCTACCTGGCGAACGTAACCCGCAATCTCACCCTGGAACTCGCGGAGGACCTGGAGGAGCTAGCCACAGCACACAAAAAAAAACAAAACAAACAAACACAAACAAACACACACACACACACACACACACACACGGCCCCAGGACCCGATAGCCTACCACTCATACCTACGGACGTTCCGCGACACGCTCCTTCCGCGCCTCCTGGCAGGCCTGAACTCCATAGGGGACACAGGGAGCTTCCCCACGGGACTCCCTAGCGGCAACAGTCACGGTAATCCCCAAAGAGGGCAAGGACCCAGCCAATTGCGCGAGCTATAGGCCCATCTCATTATTGAATGCCGACTTGAAGCTTTTCACCAAGGCCCTATCCCTGAGACTAGCCCGGATCATGCCAGACCTCATCCACCCGGACCAAGTGGGTTTTATCTCGGGCAGAGAGGCCAGGGATGACACTATACGGGCACTCAATGTTACTCACGCCGCCAGAACGTCCCACCGAGCCACTGTACTACTCTCGACGGACGCCGAGAAGGCGTTCGATCGAGTCGACTGGGTGTTCATGGCTGAAACGTTGCGGCACATGGGCTTCGGGCCCTACATGCACGCCTGGGTCTCTGCATTATACTCCACGCCAACAGCGAGGATCCGAGACAACGGGGCCCTGACGAAAACATTTCCCATCGGCAATGGGACCTGGCAGATCTGCCCCCTGTCCCCCCTCCTATTTGCCCTCACCCTGGAACCATTCCTGGAGGCGGTCAGATGGGACGGGGGCATAACAGGGGTCAGGGTGGGTGGTGAGAAGCACAGGGTGGCGGCGTACGCAGACGACATGCTCTTTTTCTTTGAACAACCCGTGATATCGGTACCTAACCTGCTACATGCATTCGACGCTTACGGCCAAGTATCAAATCTGAAACTAAACCTGGACAAGTCAGAAGCCATGTTGCTAACACAGAATGCAGGACTCGCCGATCGCCTCAGCTCCCAATTCTCCTTTGCCTGGTGTGCGACAGAAATCCGCTACCTGGCTGCCGAAGGACCTCACCCAACTGTACCAGCTAAACTTACTCCCTATCCTGTCGACCATACAACAAGATCTAGCAAGGTGGTCAGGGCTGTATATCACGTGGTTCGGTCGCATCAGTGCAATCAAGATGAATATACTCCCGAGACTACTCTACCTGTTCGCGACCCTACCCACAAAAGATCCCACAAGCATTCTTCAGATTGGTAGCAACGGCCGTAAGGTGACCCTGGAGCTCCCTAATGCAGCGGGTGGAGTGGGGCTGCCATCTCTACTTGCCTACTATCAAGCCGCTCACCTGCACAGAATTGTCGACTGGCACGCCCACCCGGACTTTGAACAACTGTGCACAAACAGGAAGCACATAGGACATGGCATTTCGCGCATGTATGGAACCCTCCTAACGACGGCAGATAGCGGTCCACTAGGCTTCACAAGTAAATGGGAACGTGAGACCGGAATCCAGCTGACAAACCAAGAGTGGGATAAAATCTTCCTCCTAACCCATAAATGTTCCATAAGCTCCAAGAAACTAGTTATAAACTCCTGACACGTTGGTACCAAACATCTGACACTCTTAGGCACATGCCACATGCTGACACGGGTGAGTGCTGGAGATGTGGGGCAGAACCTGGTTCTTACCTGCACATCTGGTGGTCCTGCCCACATATAGCACCATTTTGGCAGATGATCAATACAAAGATTAGGGAGATCACGGGAACGGACCTCCCCCTCCAGCCTTTGCTGATGCTCCTGCACCACACACCCATGCGAACATACAAAAAACTCACTCACCATACATCTGCTCACCGCGGCCAAAACCCCTACACTGGAAGCACCCTACGATCCCCACATACAGACAATGGGTGGATAAAGTTGAAACCATCCACGATATGGAACTAATGACTGCCTCCCTGCAAGAATGCTCGGACAGGTGCGCTCTCAAATGGTACCCCTGGAAATCCTACCTTTCGAAGAGGATAGCATAGAATACATTTCGGATACTGATGGACCCGAAGGGGCTGAGCTGTGGCGGGTGGGTGCGTGGCCGGGACCGGCGGCGGGGACGTGGCCGCGAGGGTCGAAGGGGGGCCCACCAGGGCCTTCCAAACGTGCCCCCCCCTCCCCTTCTCTCTCCTATCCCAGCCCCGACCCTTGAGACCCCTAGCCACCCATACAGGCAGAGGCCGGAGGCTGAGCCCTCCGCACAGGACGCCCGTAAGATAGGACCTCTACTCTGGAACAGGAACTGATGGGGTCTGGGGGACCAAGGGGCCAGGGGAATCACTCACTAGGACCCACACCACGGGACATAAGGATGACTAACAATAGGACAGGGGACTAAGGAACCCATTGACGGGACATACTTCTCTAGTAGTGGTCCCATGTTTTTATTAACCCTACCCGATCGACTTGACACACCTCAACCTCTACACTTACTTTTCCCCATCCCCTACCTACAGGGCACGAGTACTAGATGCCAACTCAGAACAAAAACAGAAGCATGACATATAGTGCAAAAGGGAGAAAGCTAGCCTACCACACCACATCCTCGGGTCCGATCAGCCACCATGAGACACAGAACGGACCCCATCAGGCATGTATACAAGGGGCCTCAACCACTTACGACCCACCGTTGGACGTAGGGATTAGGCATTACAAAACGACAACACTCTTTCTGACCTGTTCCTTAACCCGCATTAGGTCCTGCACCGCAGTGCCTTACCCACGTACGATGACAGACAGACAACGCGGCCTAAACCTCAAAGCTGGCTAGAGCCAAGACTAAGATACAAAGGGAACCGTAGCCACCCAGTGGAATGTTGATGGTACACCTCTGTTGCACTGTCTACTGTTTCTATACAAACCTTGTTGAAACTTGTTGGTTATGTTACACATGTATGTGTCATGATGGAAAAACTCAAAATAAAGAATGTCAAAAAAAAAATAAAAAAAATTGTGAGTCAGTAGCATACTACAGGGGAGCGGTCTGCCCAGGGTGACAGATGGGAGCACTACCGTTCTGTCAGTCATTTCTTGTAGTGTGTCTGCACGGGATCTGGGTAGAAGACTTTGTTATCCTCTACCCAGGTGTAGTAGGGAGAGGGAGGGAGCTGCCTCACAGTTACAGGAAGTGGAGTTATATGCGGCTTGCATGTTAACTCCATAGTAAATATCAAGGGGGAAGAACTACTACAGTCACTACCTCCCCAATCACTAAATACCAGGGGACTGCCATGCCCCCAATGACCATAAAAGTGAAGAATTTGGCAAATGTGTGGCCATACCAGGGAGTGTGCATCTGTGAGGGGTTATGAGAAACACTGGGATTGAACGGGAAGTTTAAAACTGCCAGGGGGCGAGGAGATGCAAAGTGACCCAGGTTCCTCCTCTGTATATAGAAATAAAAAAGCTCCACAGCAAATAAAGCTGTTGTAGAAGCGAGGAACAGTGGAATGTCAGCTTAAAATAGGGACAGTGGGTAGGTAGGTGTATGACAAATATACATAAATCACCCATTCTTCAAAAATCGATCAGATCGAATATGCACAACATACCCATCAATTGATACAAACAGAACCTGCCAAGCACCATAACCACTACACCAAGTTGTTGCCCTCCCCTCCATTGGAAGTAATCAAACCCTTTCACTTGACTTTTGTCTGACGGTTAGCTCAACTCAGACTATGTTTCTACTTCTGTGTCTGAAATAGTGGGGGTAGAAAGACTCCTGGCACGATAATTACACACAAAAAAAAAAAAAAAAAATTAAAACATCATGAATGGTATTTCCATTCACTTTATATGGTTTGTAGTAGAATTACCTAGACTTAAAAACGCTATCGACATGCTCTTCAACACGGGTCAAGACTAAATGAAAAGTTCAAAACCAAGATGCACACTTAAGTCAGCAATGTAAATACAAAATGAAAGATTTCTTAATTATATACACAATATTTTTAGGAGGGTCCATCAGCAAAATGTATGCAAAACTTAAACATTCTTTTATGCATTCCCCCCCCCCACATCATCTTAAATAGTGCATACCTGATTCGTAGGTCTCGGTCTTTTGAATATAAGGAGTAACCAGTTTAGGGGGTTCCCGTTTTTTGCGCTCTCCAAAAAGCTCTTCTTCAGCTAATCTTCGTTCCAATTTTTCATAATAGGTCTGATAAAAATTAAATATACATTCCTTTTATTGTCAGTCTGAAAGAGAAAACTTTTGCATAGCGGTTTTGACATTGTATATTTAAAATAAAACATGCCAGATGGTCGGATAAGTCTGGGGTTAATAAAAAGCACTGTGCACAGTTAGTTTCTAGAGCATTTTATTATTTCATAGAACTTCTTTAAATAATTAGAGGTTCACATTTTACTCATGATCAAAGCAGTTGCGACTAGTAATTATATATGTATTTTAAGAGCAGACCTATTCTCGCAGGTAAATAGATACCCTTCTGTACAGTCCTCCTGGAATACTGTGCCTCTAGCATACAGCTGCCTTTGCATACACACTAGTTTGAAAGAGGACACACAATTCCAGTATATCATATGCAGAATGAGCCTCTTTATTGAGGTAAGCGAGAGAGTCATAGCATGTTGCAACGATAGAACAGTGAGGACTCAAAGTCCAATGAAGACTTGCCTTTCACTCTACGCAGCTAGGATCCACGGTTTATCGGTCATAGTTTGACACCTGATGATCATATCTCAGGGATGCTGATTTAGGTGCTTGTTTGGGCTTATTTATGTGAAAGAAGCCATCTAGGATTAATCTCTTCGCCTGAGCATGTGGCAGCAGCACTGTTGGAGTCTCCTGAAGTAGTGGTGTAGTTCGTCTGAGTCTGAATTGGAGAGAGTCTTCTTTTAACCCCTTAAGGACCAAACTTCTGGAATAAAAAGGGAATCATGACATGTCACACACGTGATGTGTCCTTAAGGGGTTAAGGCCTTTATCTCTTGCTGCACATTTAGTATGTCTTCTCTGGAGGCCTGCACACATGCGGTCACCACTTGGACCTCTGTTCTCATCAGGTCCATATCGGCCGCAGACATCGGTTTTAGTTCCAATGAGATTTTTATTGTCCAGTTTAGTGGCTGGTGCCAAGGCATTTTGATCTACAGGCAATGTATCTTGTGTATGAGGTGCTGGGGGTTCCAAGGTCTCTCCCGTTGCCCGGTCTGAGGTGGAGGTGCTGATGTCTCGCTCTGGGCATGCCACCATTTTGCTGGTGGTCGGGTGTTGGAGCATAGTGCCAATATCTTGGGAGTCACTGCTCGTATGTTCTTTCAGTTTCTGTGATCTCCGGCACATACTGCTGGGAGTCCTCGCTGGTTGTTCGGGAGGTGTTTTGGACTTCCGTGGGGTACACCAGATATGAGAGCGCGGCCTTCAGTGTGAGAGTGAGGCAGGCCCTAGGCCTGCGGCGCACTTTCCTGCCCTTCTGTGGGGACAAGAAAGGCTTTGGCTCGCAGCGCATAGCGTGAGGATTAGAGGGCAATTGTTTTCTCCGATGGTTTGTACTCTGGCATAGTCTATTTAGTTAGATTTATTATCAGGCATCGGGAGCTCAGGAAAATAGAGTCTAGTCAGTTCAGGTGTTAGGCTCTGCCCCCCAGAATGGGCCTCTATAAAACTAGTTTGGACACTCAATATAGCCAATGAACAAATTTTGGGGGAGGGATGAGGGGGCTTCTGTCAAATGCATAGTCTTATATTTAACTTCTACCTAGAAAAGGGTAACTGAAAATAAGCATATGCCCAGTTTCCACTGAGCAGTACGGCTGGGGTCAGTACGCTATTTTGAGTGTTTCCATTATGTAAGTGGCCCATACAACTGAACCAAACCATTCCTGGGCCCCCTTCAGATATAGGTCTGCAGGAAATGGTATGGTACAGTTAGAGCAGAGCTACTGGCGTCACACTATATAATCCATTGATTGGTGGACAGGAAAACGTCAATGCTCATGACAAATGACACGCTAGGCATTTGGTCTAAACCCCGAATGCCCTCTCGGTCCAACTTGCAGTGGAAATGCTCATCTGAATAGGCTGGACCATTCTAACCCGTACCGACCCGAATTATACCGCTCCGTGGAAACGAGGCATAAGTAAGAGGAACGAATACTATACCTGGACCTAAACTAGAAGTAATGGGGCAGGCCAAAAAAAAAGGGTAATGTTTATGCAAAATTAAAAATCAAAGAGCAAAGTCAATTTTTTATTTAAATGGATACAAAAAAAACAAACAAACAAAAAAAAAAAACCCCACACACACACACCACCACTTTCAATGATTTAAAGAGGTCATGGTGCTTGGAGTCTATATGCAGAATTTAACTATGAAATACTGCACATACAGGAGTTTAATCCCTTTGCTTCAAGAGTTGAAACTCCCCCCTGGGTAGAGCCATAGAGGCGTCAGACAGAACGGAACCAACAGTTCGGAGCTAGCTAATGTTAATTCTGTGCATATTTTAATGCACAGAATTGCAGTCATTGGCTGATAGCAGTTAGACGACTCGCTCAGCCAGGGGATGGTCTTCTGCAAAAGTCGGATGTCATCACTGGGGACTCAGTTTAGAACACATTGTTTGTGATGCTTGGAGTAAGCCTTTAAAATCTCCAAGTTTGCGCATGGTTTTTACAACTTCTAGCACCGTTTTATAAACAGATGACCGAAGTGGATTTATTCAATTAAACGGTATGTCAAAAAAAAAAAAAAAAAAGATCCAGTGGGATAACGTGACCAAACGTTTTCTCCTCCAATGAGGGCAACATAGAAAAGATCCATATTCCCAGACATGAATTCACAAACATTCATACTCCTATACATGCATATCCATACTGACAGATACACAGAGAATCACTCCCATACACACTGGCACTACAATACCCCCTAACGTAGCACGGTCAGGCAGAATCCTGCACTTCCTGCCCCTCACCCATAACCGCCATTAGTTACCTGGTAATAATAATCATCCAGATGTGGATTTTCACTTTGCAGTTGAATCATCTGAAGTTTAATTACCCATTCTTTCTCCTTCTGAGACATTAAGCTAGCATAGGGATCCAGCCTACTGTCCCACTGTTTCCGGGAGGAGCTTAGGATAAGAAGATAAAAACACACAAAACTGAGCTTGGCAAAATATTTTATATTAAAACCACCAAACAGATGGCAAATTAAATTGGTAATGTATTACAAAAAAATAAAAAAAATTTAAATAAAAAGCCACTGCCTAACCATGCATTACATCTGCATCTACTTTTCTGTAACTTTGTTAAACAAAATCAGTTTTGGCACTTCTAAGTACTTAATGAAAATATAATCTAATACAATTCAAAGATACAACATGACAAAGTAGGGATTCTACCTGGTCTTCTGGTAAAGCCAGAGGTTGACAAATGGCAGAGCTCCACTGTCACCATTGTCCAATCAAAAAGTAGGAACTGGGATCTATGGAGGCATGTGCAGTCTTGCACATGTATGAGACTACATGAATGTGGAGGGGCATAGCAATTATACTAAATTTGACATTTTAAATAAATAAAAAAGTAATAAAATTATATATTTTAAGAAAGTTTTTAATGCGACCATTTAGGTTTAGTAGGTGAAGCAGTACCATTATAAAGGCTGGATATTTGAAACCCCTTAAAATGGATTTCGAAACAATATTAAAAATCTCTCTTTACCTCTGTGCTCTCTGGCGTTGGTTAAGAATTCGCCGATGCTGGGGATGGAGCTGCGTTACATGTCCTGGAACCCTGAAAATTGGAGATCAATACATTCAAAGTTATCACAAATTGAATGCATGCAACAGATGGACATGCAGCATACAGAACAGCAAGCTCACATGACTGGGCAAAAATTACTAAGGTCACCAGTTTGTAGGAGGAATTACATTTATGTGAAACCATAGATTAGGTTACTCATCTAAGTTTTTCCATTTCTAGTTGGTGAACAGGAAATGTTACTGTATCAGTTGGATTAGAGAACCCACACCACACATATTGGTATATATTATTTAGGTAGTTTCTAGTCCCCATTGCATCTTGTGGTCTAGATGATATTTAAGAAGTTTGATAGTATGCATTCTAATCAATGTCAGAGGAAAGGAGAGCCAAGTTGACCTAGGTGGGAATTAGACTTGTGACTGAGGTACTGTCAGCTGAGCAAACTGTGCACCTTAAAGACAACAAAATAGTGAAGAAAACTGGGGTGTGAACTTACTTAAACCTTTGCAACGTGTTACCCATTGGGCTGAAGAATGGAGACAGGCTGGGACTGGGTGACATCGGCCCAAAATGCATTCGGACCATTTTGGGAGTCATGGGTCTGGCTGGTGTACTGACATTGGGAGACATCGGCCTAAAGGGGGTCTGGGACATAAAACCTGGAGACTGAAGGTGGGAATAAATAAAGTAAGTTACAATTTTAAAAATAAGCCAACATCTTTACGTACCATGCTAAATTAAGAATACCATAAAATAAATAAAACAAGGAGAAAAAAAAAAAGATATATATCTATATCTAGCTGTAGAGATGCTCTCTCAAATTATCTGTAAAACAAAGTTTGCAAGTGAGAAGTGAATCTCTAATAAGAACATTATCAGTGAACACCGCCATTTTACCAGTATTGCTAATCCTAAAGCAATAGGAGAGACACAAGACACGTAGTCCACCATAGGTTGTTAAAACAGACAAAAAAAACAAAAAAAACACAAAGCAAAACCCCCCCACCCCACAAGTTTTAGCTAACATTACCTGATTTTGTGTGAAATTTGGAGGAACTCTCCTCGGTGGAGTAAATGGATATCCTGGACGCATTGGGCGGCCTGCTAATGGCGATTGCTGCAAGGAAGGTGGTGGGGAAGAGGGGAAATGTGGAATATTTAAAGCATCACAGTTGTGTACCCACTGATTGTACTCCTCCCATTGCCTCTGGCCTTCGTTATCCTTTATATTTTGTGCTGGATCGCAATACCATTTGGTTCTCCTCTGCCCATAATATCTATTTTTTCCCACATTTACACTTTTTCTAAAAAGTTACATTTTAATACGAGTCACATCTCACCTGCCTCATGAAACGCTGACGATAAGGCTTAGGAGACATTATACCCATTTCTGGGCCTTGGAGTCTTGGTGGACACAAATAACCTCGCTGGATTGGAGAGTCAAGGAAATCAAAGTTGGCTTGTGGGAGATAAGGCGCCTTATCCATAATTCTAAGGATTGCTTGATCCTACAAAAAGTAAAGGGCATTTAGAACAAACTCACAGATATGCTGCACAATTTAGACTTTTATTTTATATATTCAGCCTACCAAGGCAATCATAGTTAAAATAAACCATTGCCCCCATGAAAAAATAAATAATGCTTTAACTATATCCATATTTAAGAACGATGTATCTGGATCCTGATGAAAGTCCCAAGAGGGACTGAAACGTCGATCTCTGGATTTTGAATAAAGAAACTACACTAAAGCAAGACCATGAGTGCAGCCAAACTTTTGTGTTTCACATTTAAAAACAAAACGTGTAAATGATTACTTCACGCAACTTGACATGAAATTGTTTCAAGTGGTTATGGTGCCTGGGGTCACTGTGCAGAGTTTCACTATGAAAACACAGCGCATACAGAGTTTTAACAACTTTGCTGCCGGAGGGGTAATTTCAACCCTAGCATAGTCATTGGCCAGCCAACAAGAGTTCTGGGCTGGCTTATGTCAATTCTGTGCACAGAGGAGCATCATTGGTTGAGATAGAACATCAGCTGCTCTCAACCAATGAAGGAGTGGCAGGATCAGCATCCGGCTTCTGCAGCTCAAAATAGGCTGGGCGTCATAAACCGGCCTACAAAAAGGAGGTTCAGCATAAACTAGACATCGTGACAAACTCTGTATGCTTTCTCTAAGCTGACAGTCCGGTGTAAGGGACAGAAAAGAGGATAAATTAAACAATACAAAATATTTACTAAAATAAATTTCAAATTAAGGTAAAATTAGCCAACCTGGAAAGTTCTGTAAGTCCACTATGCTTTAAGTTCATCGTTTCAGAACCGAACTTAGAAATCCACTTAGGGTTCTCATTTTTTGTCTCTCTTTCTCCAAATTTTCAACACGTGCTCTGACTAAACTGGATATATTAAAATTATACATATAAAACACACCCACCCTCTAATGATTTGGCAGGAATAACCCGATTTTGGACCTGTATCAAATTTCTTAAAATTGTTTTTTGAGGTCTCACTTCTGTGTATCCAGGATGTTCCTGGACTAAACTAGATTATATAATATATCAACTGCTCATGCTTTAATAAAAAACCAATTCTTTAAAGCTTTAAAAAAAAAAAAAAAAAAAAAAAAGTTTTACATGAAATAATTTTGGTATACAAAAAAATAATAATTTACCTCTAATATTTGACCTACTGATGCCCTCGGAGATGCTTCCCACATTCCAGAATCCATTCCACTCTAGGTGTAAGAGAAGGGAAAAAAAAAAAAAAGTTATATTAAAAAGATTGCAATGGCAACTCGATGCACGGAGAAAGACACACAGACAGACCTAAATGCACCACTAAAGACATATAGGCTTGTTAAAGTGTTAAACCTTTTACCGTATCATATTCTGTATCAAACTCGGCCCAAGCAGATCCAATTCCACTGTCTACAACTGCACTGTCCATGCTCTAGATAATAAAAATAAAAAAAACACAACAATAAACAGCACAGTGAATTAAGGTACGGATATATTAGACAGTGGTGCAGTTTTCCTCACTCCCCTACCCTATGGTTAGACACAATCCAATCCCCCCCAAGAAAAACCCCAAAAGATCTACAGTTGCGGGCATTGGGTGTTGCTTTGAACAAGCATTTAGAACACAAGTAAATGCTTCAAATAGGAGACTCACTAGAAGAACATCAACAATCGTAGAACTACAAGGACTATCACAGGTAGATAATATGCAGGTTACCTCCAAAGTCGGTTTTCCATGGAAAGCCTTCATCACTGCAGGGTCTCCTAGTTCAGATTCATCCAGGTTTGATGTATCATGATCATCCATGTTCATAGAAGGAGCATCGTGTTTAGGAGATTCCACCACAATTTTCACTTCCTGGAATGGGGATTTTTTGTCCTCTTTTTTGGCTTGGACAATAGGGTCTGCATTCTTAATGGCCTCTTTCTGGTCAGATTTCTTCTCCTCCTCCTCCACATCTGGTTTTGTGCTCTCCTCTTCAGAATCTTGATCTCAAAATATTTTAAAAAAAAGATAGCAGAATGATGAGATTGGATATTGTAAACAGAGAGATTGGCAGCACGGATTTAACAATGTTGAGGGTCTGTTGTCTACGGCTTTAACTTTATATGCCTTATGTAAACCAATAGAGAGGTGTGTAGACAGAAATTATTCTAGTCACTGGGGGTCTAAATAATAAACTGTAAACATGATAAAAACCCATGTAATTCAGATAATAAATGGACATTGTATCGTTCCAATCCAGCCTACCTAATCCAAAAGTCACTTCATTGTACAGATCAATATCTTCATCTTCTTCTACCATTTCTTCTAGTAACAATCCCTCTTCTGCCAGAAAATAATCTTCTGGCAGCTTTGTTTAAAAAAAAAGTGTCAGTCAAAGAAGATTGTTTTAACATATAAAATTCCAGTTCTCCTTAAAAGCAAAACCAAGACTCACAAGCCTTCTAGCCTCCCTTCTGACCAACACTAAAAATATAATGTCCTACAAAATATTAAAAAAAATTTGTAGTCCCACATCCACACTGTTCTCAAATTATATTTTATGTGTGTAATTGCTGTTGTGGCAAGACATGTTTGTACTGGTTTATGTGCACAACAAAAATAAAAAAGGATAAATAAAAAAAATAAAAAAATAAATATATATATTTTTAATTAATTGAAGATACTTTTTACAGAAGCCTGCTAAAGTGCTTTATTTCTGAAGAGGTGTACATTTTAAACCTTATATTCCTGTTACGTCTTGATTTGTTTAGCTCAATTGAGCTAATCTCAGAGGGCAGCAATTGCCCAGAGCACCTGCTTTGCACAAATTCTCATTGAGAAATCTGATTTCTTTCAAGCCTCTGCAAGGCCTCCCACCTTCTAATCCAACCCAGACTTTCTGTGGCTGCCCAGAGGTATGCAGCGTATAGATATATCCCAAATAAAAGATCAAATGAATACATGGTTTCACTGGAGGTATATCTACTAAACAGTGTATATTTAACTTTAGGCAGTGGAAGGTCCATCAATCCTCCCTCGCAATAAATTGAAGGACCATTGACCTCTACCTGTCCTTCCCTCAATTTAACTTTTAATGCTTTACTTTTGCTAATATTATAATATTCTCTCTCTAGGTCTCACATATGTAAAGCTCACTGGATAATACTATTGTGTATAAAATATATGGCTTTGTTCCTAAAGAACATTTAAAAAGACACACTATGGATCACTACAGCTTGTTTCAGTGGTTATGGTGCAGTGGGTATTTGGGTGCAGTTTCCTAAGCTACAAAGTGGTTTCTGTGGAGTGGATAAATTATACACAATACTGCTTTAATGGAAGTTAGAAATTAGATTACTTACAATTTGTTCTGAAGCACGACTCATGGTTTAAAAATCATTGAAGGATGTACTGGAAAATATTAAACCTGTGAGCAAGAGATTAGAGAAATGCTTTAAAAGTTAGACTATGTAAAATAAATAAAGCTTAAAAAGTAATATGTTACTGTATAGTTGCAGTGATCAATGACTAAAAAACAAACAAAAAAAAAAACAAACAAAAAAACCCCCACACATGACAAAACAAAATTGTGATGTTTCTAAGATTTGGGGGAGGGAGGGGGGAAACCAGGACAGTACTGCATTTTTTTTTTTTTTTAATACTTTATAAAAGGTCTTCAGGGCCCAATATGAGCTACCTATCAAGAACTGCTCTATTATTATTTCATAGTTAATTGATGGAGAAAAAAAAAAAAATCTTCAGTCTCCATTTTTTTAAAAATTTATTTTTTTTAAACAAAATTTCGAGATTTGGTCACCGATAGCTATCAACTAAAATAATTAAAATATTCAAAAAAAGCAGTTGCCCATAGCTAGAATTCCCTGGTACAGGTAACCTAGAATAGCTGCAAGTAGTTTATATTTAAACTATTGGAATATATGTTGTAAGCAGTAACTCAGGTATCAGCCTTTGTAGGTAAACCAACATCCAGGAACAGCATGATAGGAAGTACAGAATGAATCCAATGTAGTTTAGCTAGGAGGAAAATAAAAACAGTATTTTAGCATTTTCTTATTAAGGTTTTAAGCTGTGAAGAGGAGGTAACCAGCTCCTAAATAAAGCTTTTCTCCCATTGTGCCTAAACAGTAAGTGATACAGGCATGAGGATATTGGTGGAATAATCAACTCAATACTCACCAAAACTAATGAAAAAATAATTGGGGCAGGTGTGCCCCCTAATACACACTACAGGTAGGATAATAATGGGGGGGGGTAAAAGTCCCCGGAAGTCAATACAGGATTATGTTACAGGTAGGAAAACTAATTCTTAATTAAAAAAAGATCAATGGGGAATTGAGCATTTAAATATGTTTTATGTAAATTTGTCACATCCAGTGTCTTAATCAGTGTATAAAGAATTATTTAGGATACACTAGTTTGGGAATGTTAAATCAAAAGACATTAAAAGTCCTGATTTAGATTTAATTGACTAAGGATTAGGACGTTATGTGGAGTCTTATATGAGAAATAATCGAATTTCTCCAAGTTTCATTTATGACATCCTGGTAAATGTACAGATTGATATATATATATATATATATATATATGGACTGCAAGGATATAGACCTTGATACTAAATAACTACCAGTGTTTCTATGATGTGACACAAATGATTTAAAACAGTTCAGAGCACTTACCATAGCAGGCTGTTCCCAAGTAACACAGCTTATCCACACCCAGCCCACTAAATATTACACTCAAAGAGACCCACCTGTGGCACTGCTCTGAGGGGCCATCTGTTTAAAAAAACAATTCCTTTAAAGGTATAGCACAGGAGGGGCTGTAGTGAAAACACATTGTGAGATGTTGCATTTACACTGATTGTAAACCTCATTAGCTATAAAAAATATAGAGAAAATGTCAGATGCAAACATGTTACTAGATCATGTGTAAAGATGACAAGAAAATTAAAATGTTACCATTGCAAACCATTCTTACCATTATAAACGATTATTACCATTATAAACCATGTAATCAGTACACAGAAAACTAACTAATGAATAAGAGTAGATTTTAAATTACAAGAAGGCTGAAGGAGATCACACATACAGTTCTTCAAGGTTAATCACTGAAGTGAGAATTGTTAAGGATTCAAAGTGGATTTCAAATTTAAGGCTAAAATAGTCAAACTGTGAAAAAAATCTCCATGGCAGCTATGATTCCACAATCTGCTATTTTAGCCTTCGATTTAAATTTCACTTTGAAAACTCTCATTTTAGAGAACTACCCCCGCCCCCACACATCCCCCCAAAAAAGGAAAAAGCTAAAGCTAAAATGTTGATGAAATGTTCATTAAAAAAAACTGTGTTGGAATTTCACTGACGTTCCAACTCAGTCAAACAATGTTCTAAGACATATAAGTAGTACTTTGTTTTATGTATTTTCCTACACTTGACAAAGCTTGAGAGCAGTAGGTCCCGCCCAAAATTAAATAAAAATTGAGAAAGTCTATAATTACCAACAGGGATAATTACTAAAGTGGGAAGTGTCAGAAATTCCAGATGAATTTCAAAATTAGGGCCCAAATAACTGAGCTTGATAAATTCAAGTTTGGCTATTTTGGCATTATAGTTATAATTTAGGCACTAAGACAAATTTAGTTTAATGAAGCAGTTTTGATGTTTAGATCATGCCCCTGCCATCTCACTGCTGAATTCTCTCCCATTTAGCAGTTTGATTACTTTATCTATAAGGCCCTAGTCACACCTCTTTGCATGTGACTCACACAGCATTCCTGTAAAATAGATCTAATGTTTAAACTTCCTTTAGTGCACAGTTTGTTTAACTTAGAATTTCTTATCTTGTGCTCTGATAATATCCTGCTAGAACCTGTAAGAGCCTCCTGTGGGTGATTAAAAGGACATTATAGACTCCCAGACCACTTCAACTCATTGAAGTGGTCTGGACGCAATGCTCCTGTTTCCCTTAGTTCTGCAATGTAACACATTGTAGTTCCAGAGAAACTGCAACATTTACATCACAGTGCCAAGACAGCCTCTAGTGGCTGTCTACCAAAGTGACGTTGGATCTCCTCACGCTCCAGCGTAAGAAATCCAGCGTAAAATCCCCGTAGTGGAGGGCCTAATGTGCTCGCAGCGCACACAGGGCATATGCTTTACGTCCCCCATCAGATGACTTAGAAGGAAGCGGAGCACTGATGCAGAGTAGCTGAAATGAAAGGACAGCCGACTTAGAGGATTTTTCTACTTCAACTATTTTGAACTTAAATTTGAAATTCACTTTGAATTATTTTTTTAATTGTAACTTTAGTATATAATGTGGTATAATGGAGTTGGGAAATTTTAAAAAGATCTTTGTATAATGGCGTTTGTATAATGGTTTAATGGAGTTGGGAAATGTCAAAAGATCTTTAACATCCCCACTGGCATTTTGGGCTAATCCTCCAGTAGTGTTGGCTTTGCATGGGCTTGCCAGGGAGAGCCTTTCGTGGATCTCTCTACTCTGCATCAATGCTAATACCAAGCTGCAAAAACCCGAAACCCACATTATACATTGCATAATAGCTGAATTAGTGATTTTTTTTTCCAAACAAGCTTTTCCAAGTCCATTTTCAATTCACTAAATTCAGTATTTAGTAAATAAACTCCACTTTGTTGCAAAAACATGATTTCATTCCCAGTTCAAAGTAGATGGTAAAATAAAATAAAAATAATATACTCACTACTAAAGGCTTAAAATGAATCAGTTTCCATCTTACATGCTTGGTAAATAAATTATCCAGCCAACACTCCGAGCTATCAACACTTAGATCATGAAAGTTTTGACACTTTGCCTGGGACAAATCAGAGTGAGTGGCGGCTGAACAATTTGTTCACCAAGCATTGCATGATGGAACCTGAATGTTTTTTAATCTTATTTTAACTGGGGAAAAAAGGGGATTCCCAATCTTATGTATTAAAACAACAAATTAGCAACTTACTCAGGTGTTAAAGTTCTTGAGACCTCAGTGTCAGGAAGGCAAGGAGGACCCATCCTGTGATGACGGAGCGTGATTCCCCCTTTTCCTGGAAATCAAAGACACTGACCTATAGGGTCACAGTTGGCACAATTTCTTATGGCTGCCTTAGTGATTGTAAAACAGAATACTTTAGTAGAATGTGAAAAACAGTAATAAACAGTATGCAGTTCCGAATAGGGGTAATGACCTCAAACCCTTTTCCAATAGTCCCAAGCGTGCGGTAGGGCTGCAACTTGCCTCTATGTACCTGCTGCAGACCCTTCACCGCACCTTTGGAACCTGGACCTTTATATCAGGTGAACATAATATGTCTAGCCAGTAGTTTTGCCCCACTTCTTTTTAAAACAATGTAATGAAAAAATGCTTGCATGGAGAGGCTGATGAATTGGGAATCCTGTGTTGAATGAGTAAAGGAGATATATACAATATTCAGGTGATAGTCAAAAAATTTGAATATCGTGCAAAAGTTCATTTATTTGAGTAATGCAAAGTAAAAGGGGAAACGAATATATGAGATAAACGCATTACATGCAAAGTGAGATAGTTCAAGCCGTGATTTGTCATAAGTGCGATGATTATGGCTTACAGCTCATGAAAACCCCAAATCCACAATCTCAGTAAATTAGAATATTGTGAAAAGGTGCAATATTCTAGGCTCACAGTGTCCTACTCTACTCAGCTAAGTAAGCCATAACATCTGCAAAGGGTTCCAGAGCCTCTAAATGGTCTCTCAGTCTGATTCAGTAGGAATCACAAGCATGGGAAAGACTGCTGACCTGACAGTTGTGCAGAAAACCATCATTGACACCCTTCATGAGGAGGGAAAGCCTCAAAAGGTAATTGCGAAGGAAGTTGGATGTTCCCAAAGTGCTGTATCAAAGCACATTAATAGAAAGTTATGTGGAAGGGAAAAGTGTGGAAGAAAAAGATGCACAAGCAGCAGGGATGACCGCAGCCTGGAGAGGATTGTCAGGAAAAGGCCATTCAAAAGTGTTGGGGACTTTCACAAGGAGTGGACTGAGGCTGGAGTCAGTGCATCAAGAGCCACCACACACAGACGAATCCTGGACATGGGCTTCAGATGTCATATTCCTCTTGTCAAGCCGCTCATGAACAACAACAAACAACATCAGAAGCATCTTACCTGGGCTAAAGAAAAACAGACCTGGTATGTTGCTCAGTGGTCCAAAGTCTTCTTTTCTGATGAGAGCAACTTCTGCATCTCATTTGGAAACCAATGACCCACTGCAAGATGCTTGAAGTCCAGTGTGAAGTTTCCACAGTCTGTGTTGATCTGCGGAGCCATGTCATCTGCTGGTGTTGGTCCACAATGCTTCATTAAGTGAA